ACTCAAACATTAAGAAGAGCAATGTGTGGCCCTAGCTGGTTTTGCTCAGTGGATAGAGCATCAGCCTGTGGACTGAAGGGTCCCAGGATCAATTCCAGTCAAGGGCATGTACCTTGGTTGCGGGTACATCCCCAGTGGGGGTGTGCAGGAGGCTCTGACCAATGTTTCTCTCTCATAGATGTTTCTAACTCTCTACCCCTCTCCCTTCTTCTCTGTAAAAAAACCAATAAAATATTTATTTTTAAAAATTCTTAATGAGTTAAAGTCCAAATTCCTCAGAACTGTCTCAACATAACAAAAGATCATTTTTGTAAGGCATGAAGGTAAGTTTCCATCAGTGAGGAAAAATTGGAAAGAAAGGAAAGCCAAGTGAAAAGTGAACAGTCCTCACTTGGCAATTATTCAGTCTTTGGAAATTTCCAAACCCTCTGCAGTCATTAATTAATTAGAGAAGATGATGTTCCACTTTAACCAGGCTAGAAGCGTGACATAAAGAGGTCTAGAGGCTTTCCTCAAGCTGAAAGAGGAATGTCACGGGAGGAACTGGGATTAGACTTAGGAGCTCATTTTTCCAGCCAGTAGTCACACCACTAAGCTAAGCAGAGTCAATACTGGACAATAAGGTCCTCTGTGCACAGGTGCCATTGAATAGGAGCAGTGTTCTGCTCAAAGACTAACTGTGAAAGAGCCCATCCCCTCTGTCACTAGTGCCCCCACAACACAGAATATATCTGTAGCCTCATCAGCCTCCTTCCCCTTTCCCCAAACAAAGACAGATGGCTAAATATCAACCTCTAACCACTCTCCTTAATAATCACAGAGAAAAGTACATGATTTGATTTTCACATTTTTAAAATGCACAATGTAATGTTCAAACACATGACACTATTGGAAAACAAATATTTAAACAAAAATTTTAAATTATGTGGGATTCACCAATATCCAGAAACCATAATAACAGATCATCCTGAATAATTACAAAAAGAAGGAAAATAAAATTTCATGTTTTCTGGTGAGTGGTTAATAAAAGTTCGTTCCATTACCCTGAGTATATTGACCAAGTCCAAATGCTAGTGATGTGGCTGGACCCAGCACCTTAGATCCAGGCTGTGCATTGGGCGTTGATTCTTTTCCTGCACCACTGGATTGGTTCCAATGTTGAATGAAGGGGGGCTTTCCAGAGTGCCAATGACATGATGGGAAAACAGGAAACTCAAAGACTAGCTTACCACTTCTCACAAGATTATTCCCTCCAGCTAGACATAGATCTCAAGCCTGCTTCCCCCAGGTGAGGGTGATAGGATCCTAAAACAACTTTGGGCATATCACTTTCCATTAGGACCATCCGAAGTCAGGTTGCTTTGGAAGGAGCAAAACTGCATTTAAGATAGTTGAGCCTAAACGTTAGTGTCAATGATCCCAACCCAAAATTTTACTCTTCCATAGGGGAATTTATTGCAGTTGCACTAATGTGAGATAAAGTTGAATAATGCAATTGTTTTCTGACCTGTTTGCTCTGGGAACCAGGAAGGACTAATGTTAATACACTGTAATGTTAACAAAGTGCAAGGCTATCCAGGTTGGCTATTTTGGACAAACTTTATTTAAAAACACACAAACTTACTGACATTTACTTTTATAAAGGGATTTTAGAGAAAAGAAAAAAAAAAGCTTTCCAAGAGCAATGTTTCCAAAACACTTAACTGGGAAACTTTAAGCTGGAAAACATCATGCTGGACCACTTTTCTGTAAAGGGTATTCATTTCAAGGATGCACTTTCAGGGAAGGGTTCTTCTCCTCTAAGGACCCTAGAATTCATTTTGGAGCACCATTAGTAGAGCACATACTTTCATTTGAAAATAGTGGTTTAGTAAACACACTCCTGGGAGAACAAGGACATGAAATTTTTGTTATAATGTTGAAAATGTGAATGAATATGTCCGTAAATTGACAATGTCAAATGTGCTAAGGATTAAAAATATATAGATAGTCCTTCTACCCAAGTTGCCCCCAAATTACCATTCAGCTTCTAACTATTTCTGATTTCTCACAGCTATAAATGAAAGCAAAAGAGGCCGCTGTTCTAACCCAATGGCTAAAACCTAGCTTGGTTTATGCATCTCACTTCTTCAAAGTAATTCCCTATTGGTACCTCTAGTCATGGTAGAAGGATACATCATCATGCTGGTTCTAGTTATCACGGAAAATCAAAATTGTAGGTGAGTAGGTATGTGTAATATCATATCTTACCTATTCGAAGGAAGAAACTTAATGTTTACCTAAAAGACATACATCCTTGCAAGTAAATAAAACAATGAAAAAGAGAACTGTCATAAAGGATTTTTTTTAATTGCCTTATAGAGTTAAAGGCTAGAGAGTAAAATTCTTCTTGCAGGATCTGTAATGTGGATAGACAAGGGGTGATAAGCAAGTGCCATTATACTGCAGCAACCTCTTCCCAAAGGAAATTAGACAAGGTGTCTGCATTACCTTAGATCCCCTTGGCCTCACTTGTCTCCTGGGCTGTTGGCCACTTGTGTCTTAGCAGCCACTGTGGTACCAACTTTGCTTGAGTCTGACCACTGTTTCATAAACTCAACCTGACAGAAGCTCACCTCATGTTTACCCTGAATACTTCTCACTTCCAGACCTGATGATGTCGTGTCCTTGTAATGCATGGGGTGCTACAGATTTGTTTGGTGCCCAAGTAAATGCATGTCTAAGTGTGAGGAAGTTTCTGACTCACAGAGAAGCTTGGGTCAAGAGAAGACAAGATAAATCATTTTACCCTTTTTGCCACCATAAGAAGATTACCATGAGTTGCTAGAGTTCATATGATCTTTTGGTAGATGATCTTTCAAGATTGAAGAAGTAGATGCAACAGGTACTAAACAATAGCCATATTGGTAACATAAACCGATATTCCTATTGGGATC